CACTTCTGCAATATAAATATTATGAAAGAATTAATTATTTTTAAAATATTTTTTGTTAAAATATTAGGATTAATGAATTATGAAATAGAATAGTAATTGAATATTATGATTTTAATCTATTATTTCATAAGTATATTTTAACAAACTGTATTTGTAGCTTGCATGTTATAATTATTTGTACTTGTCTAAAAAAATATAAAATATGAATTTTGCACTTCTTTAGGAACTTTTGTGTATTAATGTGCTTTTTGTTATTAATTTTATAATATTTAATAAATATGCATTTAAAAACAATTAAATTTAATCAAAATAGTGAGATACCTTTTTCTTACAATTGATTTTATATAACCTAAAGTATTTGGCTTTTTAAAGTTTTTAATAATGATTTATTAATGTGTTTTATTATTATTGTACTAATTTTAAAATATTTTTATAGTCATGGTTTTTGAAATTTTTAACTTTAATGTAAAAACCACATGTTTTTGTTATGTTCAAATTAAGTACTGTAGATGTATTATCTAACTAGTATAAGATTGATTTCTAATAAATCTTAAAAATATTGTCTGCTCTAAATTATAAAAATATTCAGTCATGTTTATTTTTAAAACATTGGTTATTAACATGGGAGGCAAGACTTTAAGACAACCTTTTCTGAGAATGACAGTTCTTCTTTTAACTTTTTGAACCATTTTTCATAGGGAATAAAACTGTTTTTAGAATAAGATTTTGATTAAAAAATATCAATATTAAATTTAAATGTATAATTATGGTATTTTTGGCATTGTTAATTCCTAACCTAAACCTAATGTTTTATATTGGCAAAAGGACAAAGTTTCTTAATCATTTAAGCTATATCTAAAGTTAGTTTAAAGTGCATATAAGAAAATGAGATAAACCTAACCCTTTACATAAAAATGTTAACTCTCCAAATGCTATACACTTTTCCTCTAGTCCTAACTTGTGTAACATCTCACTTACATAATTTGCAATTGTTTCAGCTGTTTCATTTGGCTTAGTTTGAACATCCAGAACTTTCATTTCCAGACCACCACTCTCAGGATTAAAATAATGAATAACAATTGGAAATAATTTAGTAGCTCTTTGATTGCTTGCATCTATGGAAATGCCAATGAAGGGAATGTTTTGTAATGATTCCATTACAGCATCAAAGGAATGGAGAGCCAATACAGAATTAACTATTGCTTCAGTTTTGTCTTTGCAGCTATTTTTGAATTTGGAAAAATTTCTTTCAACAACATAGGAGTACAATTTATTGACTTGTGGCTATTATGGTGCAATACAACATGGAACATGAGAGCATTCTCTGTAGCACTGACTTTATCATCCATTTCTGTGTTAGGCTTGATAAAATATGTTGTTACTGTCTCTGATGAATTTGCTTCTCTTACATTTCTGGAATGTTTTTCTGAATTCATATCGATCTCTAAATCTTTAGCACCTTGGTTAGCCACCTAAACATGAGTGCCTGGAGTACATGTCATACATTCTGCTTCCCATTCCTCTCAACCTTGAAAAGGCCGAAATTTTTTTCTGCAGCTCATCCAAAAATTGACACTTTCTTTTCAGCATTTTAAAATGAATCTGAAAAAAAAAGCATTTGCCCTACATAACATAAGAAAATTATTAGCAGAAAACTATTTAGTTTATTCAAATCATTTCAACACCAGCATTTTGTAATAATATTAATATATGCTTTTACCTACCAGCTGAATCAACAGGTTTAATTTTAAATATACTACAGATTAAGATGGATAACAATATACTTCTTACATAATGGAACATGATACACACACTTCAATATTAAAGAAAGAGAGAAGCAGAAGCCAAACAGTTTGCTACAGATGGAAGTTGGTTTAATAGACAGATTAACCAACTTATATAAAAGAGAAAGGTGCACGAATGTGCATTAATGTTTTTTTTGCTGTTATGAATCTTAGTAGTTTTCCAAAACTGTAGATTCTGTTTTGAGTGCCAAGTTAGAAAATCAAATTTTACACAGTTATCACATGATGTCACTGACAAAGTGTAATTTTGTCTTTGCTTTAAAATTGTGGACAAATCTACGAATTTCTAACATTGTTTGCAGACACTCAAATTTACTCATGAAATGACAATGTATGGTAAATCTACCCTACATTGATATTTCCAGTTACCTCTGTCATGTCATACAAAAGTGGTGTCGTCTGACAAGCAAAAAGAGAGTTCTCCATCATGACAATGACTCAGCAGTTTATGCTCTCCTAATCAGTGAATATCCAAAGAACACCAGATACCTATATTTCTGTAGCCTCGTTACTCACTGGATCTTGCTCCCACAGACACGTCTTTAACAAAATGAAAGTTTCAATAAAGTGTTGCAGATCAAATCAGCAGAAAAGGTGAAGTGTTGTGATAATTACACTGAAGGAGGTAATGCAGAATGAATTACAAAATTTTTAATAAGTGATATGAACATTAGCAAAAGTGTGTTGGAGAAGGTTCTTATTTTAAAATTAATCTTCCATAAATACTTGTACTACTGATCTAATAAGTTATTATGAATTGTTTTTTATTATTTTACCATATATAATACCATAAAAGTACAAATGTTATTGATATGCAATATTAATTTTGTTGCTAAGTGATTTCATTTTATATCATAAAGCACACTGCTAATAATTTTCAAGAAATCTGTTTATTATTTGATTACTTGGATAACAGTTTTTGAGGATGTCAATAGATCCTAATAACTATACAAGCATCACTAAACCCGATACATAATATAGCTAAACACCAACCAAATGCCGAATGCTTACCTCTAGAGCCAAATTGGTTACATAATTCATTTAGTAATTAGCCTTAAACTAGCCCAATAGAATTTCGGCATTTGGTTGGTGTTTAGATCCTAATAACAATTGAAAATTGAATGTTTTTATGTTCGATTTTCAAAGTCAGTATCATTAGGTCAATGGTAGTTATTCCATGATTTTAGATAAAAATACCATTCGATTAACAAAAAAATTTTAAATATTTTCTAAACATTCCAACAACAACAGCGAGTTGACTTCTTGAAAATTATTAGCATTAGCACTATTGATGACATATATGGCATTTTGTATTCCTGCATATTGTATATTTGTGATAGATACCTATCTAAAAACACTTTGAAAAAAATTAATACTTGTTATTTAAAAAAGTTTCTTAAATTTATATCTGATTTATAATCAAGGTATCTAAATCCAATTTATATACAGTCAAAACCAAGTTAATATTCAGAGCAAGTGTATAAATATTGCATTTAAATTGAAATAACATTTTACCTGCACTTTAAACTTTGCTCTACTTTTAGTATTAGAAACAGACTAGAATATACAGTACTCAAATAGCAAATATTAATTTTAAAAATATTTTGATTTTGTTATAACTTACATAATGTATAACTAATTAAGAAAAAATATTTAATAGATATTATTGTCTTTGTTCGTGTCTCTCTATTTTTCCTGTTTTTACAATGTAAATATAATGTAAATAAAGTAAGCAAGTAAACAAGTAAAGTTTAAACAAGTAAATAAAGAAAATAAAAATTTATTCAAAAGAAATTACACACAAGGCAGTGAGTTGCAAAAAAAATCTCCCCACAACAAACAAACAGTCTCAGTTAAAAAATAATAAATATAAAAATATATAATAAGTACATATGTTTGTTTAAAATTTTTTGATTTTTCTTAAGTTTATATATATATATATGTTTTATTTATTTATTTACTGATATTTTTTAATATGGTTTTTCAACAATTATTCTGTTTATAAAATTAGATGCTGAATATAAAAATGATCAAAATAAGTTCTACTGACTGTGGAAGTTAGTTTATATTGATCATTGGTGTCTTGATCTAGAAAGGCTGTTTAGTAATTTTATGGCAGTTTTCAGATTAAAAAAAAAAGTGAACTTTTCAAAATCATTTTGAAAATCAGCAGTCAGTCTGTCTTCTTGATGACTAAGACTCATGACTTGATAATGATATCACTAGTAGGCTATGAATGCTTGTTTTTATTGTCATAAAGTGAATTTTAGCAACTAAAATATGTTTAAAATGTCTTATTTACACACAACAACATTACCTCATCATTTTGCTAACAAAATTGAAACTACCTATGACGGCATTAACATTTTGCTTTGCTTCATTTTTAAACTTGACAGTGTAAAAATCAATTTTTTTTATTAATTAAAGCAACATTTATATACAATTTAAAACATTGAGTATGTTTTTGATAGAAGACAGTTGTAAAATAAATTTTTGCATAACATTTTCTAAACAGAAAATGGATGAACAAAACAGAATTTCAGCATCCCATCGGATTGCCTAACATTACATTAGTCTAGACTTTACTATATAATTAAACTCATTTTTGGTTGAAGGAGGTATAATTTTGATATTTAATGCAATTTAGGCAGTTATTTCTCAAATATTTCAATTTATCTGTTTTCTATTTACATAATTAATTTTAGATTTAATTATAAAATAATAGAAATAAACATGGAAACATGGAAAAAATAGAATGTTTGAAAGGATACTTCCTAAACTGCATAGGGTTAAGCGTTGTGTTTTTAGTAGAAACTTTGTAGGTATTCAGTAATGGCAGTATAGGTTGTATCTTGTTTTATTTTGTTTTGGTATATGTCAATGCAAGTTATATGCAGCTATGGGTAATATGTAGGAGATTATGATACTTATTAAACAAAATTTTTTTTATATTGTATAATTGTTCTTTTTTCTGTTGCACATGAATTTTATCAGGATATTTTCTAAATTAATTTTTTAATTTGAATTTTAAACTGTTTAAAAGTTAAATAAAACTACAATAATAAATGAATGTTATTAATGATGATTCATTTAATTCAGTGTTTAGATAATAATTTTTTGACTTGTTTTCCTATAAAAAAATTGATCTAATAGCAGTAAGAGTATTAGTTTTTAATTTTGTTTTTTCTTTTATAGTGTAAAAACTGAGGAGAAAACTGAATCACCAATACAGAAACCTTTACATATATATACAAGTTTTAAAATCCAGTCTATTGCATTTGGAAGTACAAATAATGCAAATTTAATTTCTACTGCTTGGTGGACCAGATGGAGTGTGTCAAAAAATTTAGTTCTCGCAACAGGCCATAAAAATGGATACATACGAACCTGGGATGTTGCAACAGGTAATTTCTTTGCGTAGTATATTCCAAAACTACTATTATCTGTCTTTTGATATTATGAGCTTTAACTATAAGAACAACTTTGTTAGTTCTTTTAACATCAATAAAATGATCACCTTTAGGCATTTACAATAGAAGAAAGGAATATGAACATTTAGCATTTAAGTTTGTTTTTATTATATGCTTAATATATATTTATAACTTATTTATACATTAAGTAATTTTAAATATCAACATTCAATTTATTAAGTTCCTAAAACAATGTTTCTTTTTTAAACATTTGTGCTTTCAAGCTGAAGATGAACTAAAATAGGTTGGAAATATTTCTTTTGTAATAAATAAATTTGGCTTCTTGAAGGAAAGTCACTTCATTTATATATGTTTTTCTCTTTATTATAATTATCACATCATAATTCATTATATTACAAGTCATTCTATAACTAAATTGAGATGTTTTAATAAATAAAAAGTAAAAAATTGTGTGAATTGAATTAAAGCTTTTAACAATCATTGGACATTAATAATGTATATCAAAATTTTACTAAATAATTTAATCTTAATAATTCTCTTTGATAAGTGAACTAAAGTATAGGGTGATTATAATCAAAGAGTAGATTTCAGAGCTATCTGTAGAAAGAACTAGTGGCAGTCTCAACTAAATTTGATGTATTGTACATACTATTCTGACTCCTGAGTATACAATTTTTGATATTCAGGAAAATGTATACTTCAAAATTCAAATTTAGATTCAAATTTGGCATTGGTGTCTTCTTAATGTACGTATTATGTACATTTCTAACGAATTTTAGGCCTAAAAGAAGTCACAAAATGTTTGGTCTGATAAAAATCCACATATTCACCAACGGATTCATTGCACCTCACCAAAGGTAACGATGCGACATGGTTTAATAGTGTCCTTTATCATTGGTCCTTACTTTGTTTAAGAAAACTCTGCATAGGGTATAGCATGTTCTGTTAATGATGCTAGATATCGAGATATGATTCAAAACTTTCCAGCACTGTAAAAGAGAAATGGTCTGTTCAGACCATTTCTCTTTTACAGTGTGGAATGATCAGGATGATGTACCCCCAAAAAGTGTCTTAATTACTCAGCAGTGACCAACAGATATATCCATCAAGAGCGATCGTGTTGCAGTGGTGAAGGACAGATATATATGTCAAAAACTATCCAAAAACTATGGCAGAAAAAAAATTCACATAAGGAATTATGTAACAATAAAAACAGACTTTTCTTTACTAGGCATAACTGTTTACAAAATCTTTTTCCAAAACGGTAATGAGAAAAAACACATGGAAAAATACTTTAAAAATTTCCATGGTTATTCTCCACTACATAGGGATAGCACCATACCTGACTAACCCACTGCTGAAAGGTTAAATATGCAAGTTTTACTTCAAGAATAATTTTTGCATGAAAGTTAGCTGATCAATTCAGCATAGCTGCCACAATTACCAGATCTGAACTCCTATGACTTAGGTTATGGGGCTAGCTAAAGAGCCTCATTTATCAAGGCAATGTATCCAACCTAGCAGTCTTAGAAGAAAGAATTTCATGATGTGCAACAACTCCACTCAGATCAGTTGAGTTTTGTAGCTGAGTGTGTTGTGCAAGTAATGCAGTTTTTAGAACAAGGAGATGGAGGCACATAGAGTCATATGTTTGATGTAATAATCAATTCCACATTCTGCATCTGTAACTAAAATAAAATTATTGCACCTTGTTTCTTAACTCCTAAAATTTATTAGAAAGCATATGCAGTATACACATTAAGGAGACAGCAGCACCAAATTTCACTCTTCTGACTGAATTTTGAAGTAAATTTTTTCTGAAAATTGAAACTATATACTCAAAACAATATATATAACAAATTTGGTTGAGATTTGCCCACTGGTTCTTTATGCTGAAAGCTGTAAACACCTACTCTTTAATTATGATCATTCTTTAAATATAAAAATGTCAGAAATCTTGAGAATTAGATTATAAATGCAGTATTATATACATATTTATAAAATATAAACTCAGCATTTATTTAGAATGTAAAATGTATATGTTTATTATGTGCATGTTTATTGTGTGTGTGTAAGTATAAGTATAATGTAAATTAATTTATTTATATAATATAGTTTTAATACAAAATTTGATAGAATATTAATAAGTAATTTGGCCTAAAGGTAGGTATTAGACACCATATCTTATTAAATTGTAATGAGAGAATTGATAGAAATTATTTCATTATAATGATAGAATAGTAATTTCTTTAGAATATTCATGTAATTAAATCACTGAAATGAATAATGAATCATTTAAACAAACAAAAAAAAAATTAACAAAAATGACTGCACAAGCATTACTGTAAATTTAGTATATTTTATTTAATAGGTCAGTTAATTTTACATTTGACCGATCATCGAGACTCTGTAACAGCTTTATCATTTGCTACGAATGGCAGTTTGCTTTTGTTATCATGTTCATCAGATCACATGTTAAAAATATGGGACATAATTGATAATGGAAATATGTGTAAAACAGTGAAAACTTCAAAACCAATAACTACTTGCTCATGGTCTCCAAACAGTAAATTAATTGCATCTGTTGGAGGAAATGTGGTAAATATTAGTTAATTTACTTTTGTCTTAATGTAACTAATCTTAGAATAATTATGATATGATTTGAGTGATAATTCATTCAACCCACTTCTTATATTAATTAATGTAGGAAAATAAAATTACATGTATTTAAATATACAGCAGGTTCTCAATTTATGCATGAGTTGTAATCTACAGATGTACTGGTTAATAATGCAGATTTTGTTCAATAGATTGCATTACACATATGTTTATATGTATGCTATTTTGTTGTATTGACATCAAGCTTTAAAACTTTGTGTCAAATTTTCTGAAGGTGTTAACATCATAGATATTTTTACACTTAAAAATGTTAAATTTCATTCCAAAAAAAAAAAAAAAAAACATTTGTGGGAAGTTTTAATTCATTACTTTATTCTGAAAAAAAATGTTACTGAAAGTTATTGTGTACTTCGAGAAGCTTATGGTAAACATGTCGCATCTCAAGACACTTGTGAATGTTGGTTTAAATATAATGATTTTGATGTGAAAGACAAAGAATGCCCGGGTCAACTGAAAAAGTTTGAAGACCAACAATTACAAGCATTATTGGATGAAGATGCATGTCAAACTCAAAAACAACTTCCAGAAAGATTAAATGTTGTTCAGCAAACAATTTCCAATTGTTTACAAGCAGTGAAAAAGATTTTAAAGGAAGGAAAATGGGTGCCACATCAACTGAATGAAAGACAAATGAAAAACCAAAAAGTCATCAGTAAAGTGTTGCTTCAACAGCACAAAAGAAAGCTTTTTTTTGCATTAAATTGTGACTGGCAATAAAAAGTGGATTTATTTTGAGAATCCCAAATACACAAAATTATGGGTTGATCCAGGTCAGCCATCAACATTGACTGCAAGGCAAATTGCTTCAGAAAGAAATCAATGCTTTGCATTTGGTGGGATCAGGAAGGTGTGGTGTATTATGAGCTTCTAAAACCAGGTGAAACCATTAATATTGATCATTACTGACAACAAATAATCAATTTGAACCATGCTTTGATCATAAAACAACCAAAAGACATGGCAAAGTAATATTGCTTCATGATAACACCATCACACACTTCAAAGGCAGTTAGACATTAAAAGATCTTGCCTGGAAACTAGTAACCCACCCGCCATATTCACTAGACCTGGCTCCTCCTGATTTTCACTTGTTTTGATTGATGGCATGCACACTTTCTGAGCAGAACTTCAAAATGTACAAAGAAGTAAAAAATTGGATCTCTGAATGGTTTGCCTCAAAACAAAAAAAGTTCTATTGGGACAGTATCCACAAATTTTCTGAAAGATGGGGGAAATGTATAGTTAGTGATGGACGGACATTACTTTGAATAAAGCAATTTTAATGTTTCTTTTGAAATTATTGTGTTTTCTTTGTTTACTAAAGCATGGAGGTCCATCTTTGAAATTATAATTAAATCTTAAGTTTAAAAATTTTTATATCTATTTGATGTCTTTGTTGATATCCATGCTTTCCACCAACAAAATAATTACAGGAAATCCTCATTAATTCAAACTTGGATAGTTTAAAATCCCATTAATTCAAACTTGGATAGTTTAAAATCCCATTAATTCACAACTGTACTATTTGTCCTAGCTGAGGATATAGAGATTTACATGTTAAGGAATTTGGTTAATTCTAAATACTTTTACTTCAAATTTCAAAGTGAAAATTTTGTCCAAACTGTGATATGCTTATGTTAACTTGCTCATTTAGATTGAAGTGCCTCCATGCTGTAAGAAAACAATAGATCAAGAACAACTGTAATCTGGTCAATATGGCTTTGCTTTTACAGTAACACACTTTTGGGTGTTACGTTACCCTGGTCTATCCTTTATTTTGTCTTATTTCATAAAATACAGCTGATTTTTGGATTGCAAGATTGGGCTACAAGTAACAGATTGAGGTATTTGTAGAGCTCTGTGCTACTATATTTTGGTGACTTACTACCATTTGGGCACTTAAAAATAATTTGGGCTACATTAGAGGAATTTTGCTTTACTTTTTATAAAACCTATCTGACAATCTGTGAGGTTCTCATCAGACACCTGCAGTTTATTTATATTATTATTAATGAAAATAGCATTCTGTATACATATCTGTGTTCCATTTGAATAATAAATTTCATCAGTTACATGGCATCTGGCAAATTGTACAGAAATGTGTAAATCTCAGATAATTCAAAACTCAATAATTATAAGTCACAATTATTTTGTCTTTTGAATTTTGAGCTAATGACGATTTCCTGTATTCTGTTTTATTTAACTGATGATTTTATTTTCATATATGCTTGGCTGCTTATAGCCTGATGATCATTTAAAATTGTCAAAAACATTTTTGTTTTTATTTAGTAAATTATGTAACTAAGTAAAATAAAGATACACCACCAGTAATATACAGCAGATAAGATATATCTTATCTGCTGTATATTACTGGTGGTGTATCTTTATTTTACTTAGTTACATTCAGTTTCAAATGTTGCATAGTTATTGTTAGTGCCATCTTTATAATGTGCTATACAATTTCCATAAAGTTGATTTTTTAAAATTTCAACTGATCAATTAAAATTTCAATTTTAAAATTAAATTGAATTTGCATAAATGAAGGCATTATTGTTATTGATGTTAATTTGAATTAATAAGATTTATTATATCTTTTTACATATAAGTTGCCAATGTGAGATGCATTATATCATATTTCATCAAAATAGAGAGAATAAAAATTTTGAATTAATATTTTTTTTACATTGCATCTCAAAAGATTTTTAGAATAAATATTAATATTGTATACTGTTTGAATCTATGTAAAATAACATGCAATTATTATTAATTTTGATAAAAGACAAAGTGAACTTATAATATTCATTATGAGTTCACTTTGCTTAGGAAAATGAGTAGAAATGTAATCAAAATGTAAAATACAAAAAGTAAGTGCTTGAAAGATTTTAGGAGTTAGAAATCTTATGACTTTTATAGTCTATCTAAAATGGAGTTGTGACTGTAGGGTCGGTGTCTCTTCAACACTGCATGAGGATGTGACACCACCAAGTCTCTCAGGACTCGGAAATCGCAACTTTACGTCCTGCGAGCGGTCGCGGGTAGATTCAGTTGGATTCAGAGTAGAGGTAAGAAGAGAGAAACAAGGAAGTGATTCACTCAGGTTCCACATTAATAAACAATAACAAATTTATTTTAGTGGGCAGGAGTACACGATATACGATCTTATCCCTATTTTCTTAACTTTAACTGTCGCTAGAGAGAGAGTTTACAAACGACTCGCTTGTGGATAAATACCTTATAAAGAAGTTGAGGATGGATGACTTGATGACTCAAACGTGAGATTCTTCGGGTGGTCGAAGGGTCTTTTTATTCGAATTGTTCAGGTAACAAGTCTTTGGAGGGAGGTATCTGACAGGTGTAGAATAAATCAAGAACTTGGGCGTTATAGGTATCCGTATGTTGATATTGACAAAGACACCGTATTTTAGCACACTTTGGAGGACGACTGACTTGATTTGTCATTGCTCTCTTTTGTTATTTTTTGTTCCTTCTGGGTTTTTCCATGAGGTCAGGAGTCTGTTGTTAAGGGCCTAGCGTCCAATACTGGGAGTTTATCAAAAGTTCCAGGTGACACACTAATGACTAGATGAATCATCCTCAACAAGGAACCAAGTCCATGGGAAATAATTTTTATAGATTTTAGTCTAACTTTTGATAAAATGATCAAAGTTAAATGATGAATTCTCGAATAATTAAAATTTAAAGTAACACTTTATTGAGGGTCTGTTCGTCCCTCACAGAGTCATTTATATTTTTGTTAAATCTGCTTTGAATTATGAAGGCATTAACTATGCTGATTAAATATATATAAACAGCTCTAACTTTTTACTTTAATTAAAACCAGGTGATCTGCCAAATTATCGGGGTATAAGAAGGTTAAGTTAATGATAAGATATGAAGTGATTTGTCTTGAGGTAAATGCAGTAAGGCTGCCATCCTTTACACAAGTTACTTTGTCTTTGATTATTCACTTAGCCTTATAATAGCCCAATAAGGATCGATTTACACAGAACAGTGATGTGCCGGCACAGTGCAGTGAATTCATCCAAAGATATAGCTATCATAGCCAATTCATCCTCAGTAAAGTCCATGACCACTCACTGACAGCATGGTCATGTCACTGTTGTGTGTAAATAGTCATCACTGTGCCGTGCTTGACATTGCTGTCACCAAATGGTCACAGTGCTGGCACGTCACTGTTATGTGTAAATCTACCCTAATTTTGTAAATTATCTGGTTTTATGCTGATTGTGTTTTTTGATACAAATGATGAAAATTTCTGTCAAACTATAATGAAAGTTATATCTATTAAGTTATGTACAATAATAATTACAGTTAAAGTTTAATGAAATAATAAAATCATTCATTTTGATTAATAAACTTTAATAAACTGTTAAGTAAAAATTTAACATTTGGCCACTGTATTTACATTTTAAAAAATATAAAAATATCATGAAACAATGTCCTCTGGTAATTTTGCCAATAAATGTATTACATTGTGATTTTGGCAAAATTACTAGATGACATTTCCAATTTGCATTTTATTGCAGAGGCAGAGTCTTCAATAAACGGTCATTTCCGTATGTGAAAATTGTTTTGGACTGTCACTGGTGTGTTGGAACAACAGAAAAGGAAGACAAAAACAAAATTTTTCGTATATTTGTGATATTTTTATATTTTTTAAACTTAACAATGTTTGTTTGAATTTAAAAATGATTTCTTGTGTAATATCTTATAGGCTCATATATGGGAAACAAATGATTTTACACTTAAAACTACTTTGAACGGCCATCATCAAAGGATCATCTCTTGTAAATTTTCATCGGACAACAGTTTGATAGCTACTGCTTCTTGTGATACTAGGGTTATTTTGTGGCAGGTACAAACTGGACAAATACTTCATATCTTTGGGTGAGTTACTTTTATTGTATTTAATATTAAACTAGATAATTAGAATATTTGTTACTATGACTAAAAATTCTGTATAATATTAATTGTTAAAATGATGTTTAAATATAAAACTGAAAGGCCTCAATATGTAAAACATTAAAAAAGTTCCATCTGGCAGCAGCTTGCACATACAAAAAACATAATACATTTAATAAAAGTATATTAGCTGGGACATAAAAATACTTTAAAAAAAATTCTTCTTTTGATGTAACTATAAGTGTCCTTCATCTGTTGTCCCCTTTTTTAACATTTTACATATTGAGGTTGGAAATATTAGCCTCAAAAGAAAGGTCATCTCTGCCAGTGAAATTGATAAAACTTTTAGTAGACAAAATGATGATTGAACTGAATTTACTGTACTGAATGTACTGTACTACTGTACATGTGTTAAATTAATGCAAAATAAAATTTGATTATTCAAAATTCAAAGAAAATTTAAATCAAATAGGAGCATCTTGTTTTTATATTGCAATATCTGTTTTCACAAATGACTGACAAGGAGAGGGTCAAACATTTGGATCTCTGATTCGAATGTAACTCGGTGAGTGTGTAGCCATCAACACAAATGGCTCCTTGCCCAAATATTAGAACCCACTTCACAAGCATCTCCAAAAAAGGGCCTCTGAAAATTGAGTTTTTAGTTTCATATTTCTTTTAAGCAGTGATAACCAAATGAAAAGGAACTAGCTACTATTTACCATACCATTAGCATTATTATCACTGTTATTATTCATCACATTTAAAACTTGTGAAACAAATTAAAATGGAATAAAAAAACATATATTGTCACCATGAACAAATAAACTTTGAACATTACTGCACATGGATGAAAAGGAGTCCACCAGTGGCCAAGTGGTCTTCATACCCTGAACATTGGAAATTTGGTCATGGGTTTGCACCTTGCTCAGACAGGCTGGCCACATAGAGTTTTCCGGGTTTTTTCCGCGTCTGTAACGCCTAAATAGGGGCCAGTTTCCCTTAAAAAACATCCTGGAAGGTATCCCCCCAGACAGATTGTCCAAGTGTTGCATTGCCATAACTTAACCAACAACAACACATGGATAAAAAAGACAAGTCTGTTATGAAAATGCATAGAATGATCATATCTCTGTAGATTTAACTTTTTCATGTTGTTAAATAAAATTTTATTTTTTCATAATCTTCATATTTTCAGATATGGTGGTATTATTATATATGAAGTGTAACACATATGAATGCATGAGGAAATGGTTCATAGCATTAATAATAATAATAATAAAAGCTATGGTTCTATTACCCTATTTTCATAACAGACCTGTCTTTAGACATTACTGCACATGGATGAAAAAGTTTATAAGCTTTAAATGTGATGAATAATAACAGTAATAATAATACTTATGGTAAAATAATGAAATAATTATGTTACACATAAAAAAAAAACTAAAATTGCAAAGTTTCAAACTTACATTGTGTCACTCCAGTGCTTAGCATCTTGTCCACTTGGTTGTTGTCTCTCTGAGGAAGCATGAACTTCCAAAGCCTTATAAGTTAAACCTTCAATTTTCAGATGGACATGGAGCTGTTTGTGTTAACAGCTACACGCTTACCAAGTTTTGTTGAATCAGAGATTCAAATGTCTGACCCTCTCCTTGTGAATATAAAATTTTTAATAGCTAAATTTATNACTCCATCCTTGTTAAAAGTAATTGATTTGCAATTACATAGAATAAAATGCACAGCTCTTATTAAGAGTGTCATAGTTCTTGCTATATTTGCAGACCAAGTTGAAGAAATAATTAATAGCAAATTTTCCTTTATTATAGATGAATCTACAGATATTGCTTGTGCAAAGCATTTATGTCTTTATTTTTCTTTCACTATAGTATCTAATACAAAGTTGTTTCCGATTTTCTTGGATTAACTCCTGTAACAACAACAACAGCTGAAGCACTTCATGATATTGTATTTACAGTAATATTTAGCCATTTCTGAGAGTTTAGTTACACCTCAGCTGATATCTAACTATTTTGCATGATTAAACAGTTAAAAGAGAATTCCGTTCTGCAATGTCTAATGAATTTATAATTGACAACTTGTTTTATATTAGAATTATCGATAATAATTACAAATATTTGTAAATGAAAAAAATTCATTTTTGTAAATGAATATATAAATTTGTAAAATTGAACAAGTATTTAATCAATTGGATTTATCTGTTTGATTGAGTATAGTATCTTTGATTCATTATTTTATAAATTATTGAAAAATTTAGTATTATTTTATGTTTTTTAATGTTAACCTGGTTAACATTAATTATAATCAACATTCGGTTTATCATCTTTGGTACTTAAATACTCTAAATATTTCTACAAACTCGAGCATTATAACTGCTATTACAAATATGAATATTAAATGATTATTACTTGAAAACAGACTCAACAAATACTCATTATTTGTCAACAACATTTATATAGATTTCACTAATGAATATTGCTATTGGTGTAAATCCAGTGACTTTTCCTTGATCCATTTGTTAAAAGACTGAAGCATTAGTAAAATATCATCAAGAATATGAAATTACCGAAACAATTTATACGAACCAAAACTTAAACTATAGAGCTAAGCTAGGTAACCTTTCAATAAACCAATGTATAAAATAAACAACTTTTTTATTCAAATTACTAACGAGCTAAAGCATTATGGAACTAATTGAAAATTATTGTTAATTATGTACTTTATTAATCAAAATATATTACGTAAAGGTAAAAATTTATTTTCATAAATATTGTCATAAAATTTATGTAATTTTACTATTGTATTTAAAGAAATGTACAAAAGAATAACAATAAAATACTACATGTAAACTTAAATGTAGTTATAAAATTAACCTCCTGTAACAAGGTTTGCCTTAGAACAAATAAAGCTTGTTAATAATAATAATAATAATAATAATAATAATAATCAACATGATCAATTTACTGACATTTAAAAAGTTTTTGAAACAGTAGCTGCAATAGCTGGGGTAATTTCAGAACATTGAGACAAAAGAAGGAAGGAACCATTATAAAACAAACTCTGTAGGATTTTCTTTAAAAATTAAAAATTGTATTACTGTAACATGTATTTGAAAATTATTTGTTTCTGTTACCTCTTATCATTTGATTTCAATGTGAGACACACCATTCATATTAAAATATAACTAGAATAATGCTCATTTTTATTCTTAAAACTATTGTACATATATTAGCTATAATGATGTAAAAAAATGTTATAGTCTATAAGATTAAATTCACAGACATAAAAAGAGACTTAAAAGTTGTACCTTATGAATTTATTATAATATATGTAATGTTGGCTTATCTGTTTATTAAGGACATTGAAATATTTCTAAATTTATTAAATGGTTTTGGTGTAGTTAATAAACAGATATAGTATATTGACTTTACATTTAAAAAGGTGCAGAGTTTTGTTCATTTTGAAGTTAAATCTCTTACATTTATAAATTTTAATCTGAAATGGCCATAACTGTCCATTTTTATCAGCTTTCAGTTATTCAAGATAGCATTGATATGCATTACATAATTAGGATTCTAATGTATAATGTAGTTTTTAATGTACATTACAATTCTGTTGAATTTTTGTATGATGAATGATTTTTTTTTCAGCCATTTCTTTCCACCGCCTTCAAAATTTAGCACTCCTGGTAAGGATGGCACCTGGATTCGAGACTTAGCATTTTCTCAAGATGGTATTCATATAGCAACTATAGCAGAAGATGGGTAAGAAATTGTATATATTTGCTATATTTATCTTATTTAAAGGTTGTCTACAAAATGTACTACTATAGATATACTAGAAATTAAACTATTAGAGATGGATTGATAAAATTTATAAGCACATTTATTTTGATACATGTGGACATGAACTATGGACATAATTTCAAAAACAATTATAATTTTCACACTAGGGATTCTATAATGGCACTGCTGTTGCAACAGCATCAAAAAAACTGTTTAACATGTTTTTTATCATTCTGTCATACAAAGTTGCCAGACTGGGCAAAAAGGCCTTGTGTAAAGTATGTAATGTAAAATTACGAGCTCATGCTGGTGATTTAAATAAACATGCTTCATCCTCCAAACATTTAAAAAATAGTAAATTAATAGATTTACATTCAAAAAGTGATCTAAAAGAACTTTTTTCACATAAAAACAAAATAAATAAATTTGAATTAAAGTTAACAGCATTTGTAGCTTGTCATACAAATGTATCTAGTGTTGATAATTTAGGTGAGCTGATTAAACAAGAAACTCCATCCTTGTTAAAAGTAATTGATTTGCAATTACATAGAATAAAATGCACAGCTCTTATTAAGAGTGTCATAGTTCTTGCTATATTTGCAGACCAAGTTGAAGAAATAATTAATAGCAAATTTTCCTTTATTATAGATGAATCTACAGATATTGCTTGTGCAAAGCATTTATGTCTTTATTTTTCTTTCACTATAGTATCTAATACAAAGTTGTTTCCGATTTTCTTGGATTAACTCCTGTAACAACAACAACAGCTGAAGCACTTCATGATATTGTAAAAAGATTTTTTAGTGATATAGGTATTGATATTAAAAATTATTTTCTCTTGCAACAGATGGAGCTTCTAATCTTTGTGGAGTTAATAAATCATTATACACTTTGATGAAACAAGATAATCCAGACCTTATTGTTGTTAAATGTATTTGTTATTCATTACATTTTGTTTGTTCACATGCATCTGAAGAGTTGACTACTTAATGAGAGAGACCTATAACTGGTTTAGTAGATCAGCTCTTTGAAATGAGAAATACATGGAAATATATAGACTTATACATGATGGCGAGGATCCCCTGAAAATAATACCATTATCAGGGACACGTAGAAGTACATGTGTAGGAAGTATTCTTGATCACTGGGATGCTTTAAAATTACATTTTCAGATGGTTTCATCTAGATCTGATAGGTATTATGCCAGGGAATTATGTAAAATGTACACTGATGAAACCAATAGACTTTATTTCACCTTCTTGAGGCCTGTCTTAAGAGAATTTGAAAAAATTAATTTGATCTTTCAAAAAGAAATGGCAGATCATTTTAGAATACTTGATGAATTATGCAGCTTTACATTATCAATATTAAGAAGAGTTTTGTTTCTTGAATTTGTAATGATGATTCTCATTATCTGTCTAATGAAAAGATTGATTTTGGCTATGAAATTTCTTATGAACAAGCATTTATAGTTAAAGAAAGATGTTCAAACTTTTTAAAAAAAGCCTGTAAAGAAATTCTTACTCACATACCTAAAAACATTGAATTACTTAAAAAAAATTAGAGTTTTATCTCCTAGTATTTGCTTAAGTCCTACTCGTCCTCCATTTTCAACTCTTTCACTAGCTCTGGCTGATCAATCCAAAATTGAAGAAATAGAGCGTCAATGGTGGCATCTATTGACAGTAGACTGGACAAGTATTTTTCCAGGTAACGTTTCAACTGATACATCAGAGTTTTGGTACAAAGTCTCAACTATAGAAAATGCTGTAGGAGATCCTACATTTTTCAAAAAATCTTAGTTTGCATTGTGTTTATGTTCCTTGCCAATTAGCAATGCCACAGTGGAAATAGTTTTCTCTATGGTGACCTCAGTCAAAACCAAATTGAGAAACAGAATGAGCTTGAATCTTCTAGCATCAATTTTGAGGATAAAATGTTTCTTCAAAAATGAAAACATATGCTGCTTTAACTTTAATCTAACCATGCTTAATTTTCAGTCAAAAATTTATGAAAAAGAAGTGAGTGAAATAGGAGATGATGATTTTTTAAATTCTTTTAATACTTTTAATTTTTAAAGTAAGTGCATTTTTCTTATAAAATTTGAGTAATTTTGTTTTATTTTATGCTATTACTGCATTAGGCTACTTTTCACTTTAACAGGCTACTTTTTAAGATTGACTGGGCTACTTTCTTTCAAAACATCTGGCATCACTGCTGTCACATAATACAATTAAATTATCACATTAGCAACAACCAAATGTAACATGTCAGGAGTAATGAAACTCGCTTCTCTTTCAATTTGCCTATTTAGTTCTGATAAATCCTGTAACTCTGCTTATATTATTTAAATAGCTTCATAACCAGAATTGAGTGAGATTGAGTGAATGAACAGGCCATTGAATTGGAAAAGACTAACTGATTAGTCATCCTTTCATTGCCAAATGTGTTAAGCTTGCTGCAAACTAGTAGGTGCTGTCATTTTTGACATGATATCAGATGCAATTTTTATTGTCATGTGACTGTTTTCCTTTGATGACCTGGTGATGTTGCCACTTGTGATATCACTCATGATGTAATTCTAAAGATGTAAAGTACTAAGTTAATTTTTGTTTTACACCTTTTACAATGATTATCAACATGACTGTGTGCCGGAAATAGCTGTTACCTAACGGGTACTTTACGTGGATTTGCGTTAATGTGCCAGGCCTAGACTTTAAGCATGCACCGAAAGAAATAATGACAAAGTTAGTCAAAACCAATCCAATATTTAATAATTCTAATAATGACTATGTACAAAAATCAGTAACAATCAAACAACAAATTTATTCAAAGAAAATCAACAATAAGAATCAACCCGACAAAAACTCAAATCAATCTATTTGCTAACTTAAATCTATTCCCCTTTGGAATTCGACAAAAATTCAAAGACTTAACTTATGTACAACAATTCTTATGAACTGAGGTCCTAATCGTCACCTCAATATACTAGGAACCTTTTTCCTCAACTCTCAAGACTTTCTAACCTTCGATCCACAAATCGAATAACTTCAAATCGCCTTGGAACCACTTTATCGCTATCGGACACCTCTTGTCATTTGCTGCTACGAAGCTCTCCATGCTCGCTGCTAACAGAAGCTCATCTCGGTCATCTTCACTTGAGGTTCGGACTTTATACTATGAGGTGACGTCACAATTCTGATTGAGATCACTCCCCTCATTTGCATACTTATCATTAACAGTAAACTTTTTCTTTCTGCCTGGCAGCCTATTTCCTGACAATACATGTTAACCTTTTTACATTATTCTTTTTGACAATTTTTGGAATGTTTCTTTAAGGTTTAGCAAGTTCCTAAGTTGTATTTGTGGGGTCTCCCCTTTCTTTCTTGGTGTGGACTTACTCTTTTCCACTCAGGAGCGCAAGTGTGTGTGAGTTTTTCTATGGCGCTTTTTTTTTTGTCAGTGAGTTGGTTCTCTTTCTTCTATTTTTAAGTTTCTAAGGTGAGTGGTGAGGAAACCTTCATTCTAACAAAACATAAGCCCCAAACAAAAATAGAATAAAAACCAAAATAAAAAATAACTAAAAATAATGTTCGGACTTGATTCCTTACAAAGAACCAACAAACATTTCATCTATCCCTCTACAAACCATTGCTTGGTAATTTGTATGTAATGGTGATGATCAGCAATGGCAATTTGTATTGATGCTGTTTGTTTGGCTGCTTCTATTTATTGCCTATTTGGCAGAAATTTAATTAAAAAATGAAAACAGAATCAGGAACACAATTTAGAATGAATTTGCCATTTGATATGTACCTAACTTCTATAATTTCAAAATCAATGAAATTATTTATATTTTTACATCTATGAAAATCTATTAAACAGCTTTCTGTTTTGTAATCTCAACATAGTTAAACCATTGCTGAAATAACACAAAGATCACAGCACAAGCATGTTCAAGATTTATTTGTGGCATACAGTGCATGTTCCTTTCTTGCAAACTTTCAAATGTGCGTGAGCATCTGATTGATGAGCATCTGCTGATCGGTGCATGAAAAATCCGTAATGTTTGATCCAAGAGTTGTTGAAGGGACTGTCTAGTTTCCATCAAAGCTATCACATAGTGACATTGAGTCAATGACCATGCAGTTAATGATTGAATTTATGACAATCAAATGAATTTTGTTTGATGGTACTTCCAGCTAGTTTGCTGCAATATCAACTAGTTGGCATTGGGCTTTAGACAGTATGGGTCTCATAATGATTGTGGTATGGAGTTTTGTACTGTCTTACATAGATGTGATGTTATTGAAGTATTTGCTGTAGTTTAGGAATGTGAGAGATTGCAGTATGTCTTTATAGTGCTGCTGCAACAGTGATGTCATTACAGACATCTAGCAGTGGATATTGTAACTATTTTAAAAACTGTCCATAGTTTTTCTGTTGAGATAAAATGCCTACAAAGATTTATTGATATATCTCTAACAGTTTTGTCTTCAGTATGTTCTTAAGTGGTATATAGTGAAACCTTGGATTTCAAATTTAATTTGTTCCTAAAAATTGTTTGAAAACCAATTTTTTTCTCAAACCAAACAAAATTTTTCCATAAGAAACAATATAATATGGATTAATCCATTCCCAATCCCCAAAACAAAGTCCCCCCTTTTTTTTTACCATTTTAGTTGTATTTCATGCTTAAAAATTCCTATAAATGCAATATAATATTACATGTAATCTATATCTATATCCATTTTATATATATATTAAAAGTTCCCAATAACAGACATTGTTGGGACCGAGAAGTTTGTCCGCTATTTAGAAGTACAGTACATGCTAGTGGCCATATTGTATTCTAACAAAGTTATTATAAAATGAAGAATACAATGGATTACAAAAACATCAAATTGTGTTAGGAATGTGAAAGTACCAAAAAAAAGAAAAGTATACATAGCATATATAATTAAAATATATATACAGTG